GAGAAATCTGGGGTCTATCAGACTCTAGATCTCTCCTCTGCCCTTCCATCTTCTCACCAAGATCGCTGTGATCGACAACGCTTCTCCCAATTTACAAATGGCGCAGTTTTATATCCGCGAAACGGAAATAAAAAGCTTGTAGGCTTCTGGTCTCTTAGACCATAGAGATGTTTGGAGGCACTCTGGTCTCTGGTCAGCTCTATGGTCATCCAGCGGAACTGCCGGCTGCATTCTCAGATTCCCCTGTGGGACAGAAGAGTCCAAGGAAGCCACAGAAGGCGGTGAGGGGAAGGGGGCTCCCTTCCTGCTGCTTGTAAAGAGCAATCCTGAAGCTAATTAGTCGGCTAGGATCGCTTTCACATGAAAGACGATTGCCGGCTGGAAAAAAAACAAAAACGATCCCTGGATGACGCCTGTTCAGCTGTATGCACCATCCGGCATAACCACTCCAGTCCAGCGAGGTTCCAGTACATTGCTGGTCCTTGTTGGGCATATACAGTGAGGGACAGAAGTATGTGAACCCCCTGCGATTCAGCAAGTTCTCCCTTCATTCTCCATTCATGGAGGGTCTGACATTCACATTGCAGGGGATTCCCACTCCGAGGACAGAATTCAGGAGATCACATTGCAGGGGATTCCCACTCCGAGGACAGAATTCAGGAGATCACATTGCATAGGGATTCCCACTCCGAGACAGAATTCAGGAGATCACATTGCAGGGGATTCCCACTCCGAGGACAGAATTCAGGAGATCACATTGCAGGGGATTCCCCACTCCGAGGACAGAATTCAGGAGATCACATTGTATGATTTGTAAAGAATGTATTTGTCCTCGCACGCTGAACAGAAAGTATTTGAACCCCTGAGAAGCAGCAAGAATTCTGGCTCTCAAAGACCTGTTACTGCGCCTTTATAAAGCCCACCTCTACTCCACTCATTCATCTCACTTAGTAGCACCTGTCTGAGCTCTTTACAGACACCTGTCCATCCCACAGTCAGTCAGACGCCAACTACTACCATGGGCAAGACCAAAGAGCTGTCAAAAAGACGCCAGAGACAAAATGGTGGACCTCCACACAGCTGGAAAGGGCTACGGGGCAATTGCCAAGCAGCTTGCTGAAAATAGATCAACCGTTGGAGCAATTTGTTAGAAAATGGAAGAGGCTAAAGACACTGTCAGTCTCCCTCCGGACTGGGCTCCATGCAAGATGTCCCCCTCGTGGGGTATCACTGATGAGAAGAAAGGTGAGGAATCAGCCCAGAACTCACAAGGGAGGAGCTGGTCAATGACATGAAGAGAGCTGGGGACCACAGTTTCACAGGTCACTGTCGGTAGAACACTACGCCGTCATGGTTTCCAATCATAGCATTGCACGGAAGGTTCCCCTGCTCCAGTCATCACATGTCCAGGCCCGTCTGAAGGTTCCCCTGCTCAAGTCATCACATGTCCACGGCCCTCTGAAGGTTCCCCTGCTCCAGTCATCACATTGTCCAGCCCGTCTGAAGGTTCCCCTGCTCAAGTCATCACATGTCCAGGCCCGTCTGAAGGTTGCCAATGACCATCTGGATGATGCAGAGGAGGCATGGGAGGAAGTCATGTGGTCAGAGGAGGCATGGAGAAAAGTCATGTGGTCAGAGGAGACCAAAAGTAGAACTTTTTGGTCTAAACTTCACTCGTTGTGTTTGGAGGAAACAGAAGGATGAGTTGCACCCCAAGAAAAAACACCATCCCTACTGTGAAGCTTGGAGGTGGTAACATCAGCTTTGGGGTGCTTTTCTGCGAAGGGGACAGGACGACTGCACTGTATTAAGGAGAGGATGAATGGGGCCATTTATTGTGAGATTTTCACAACAACCTCCTTCCCTCAGTCAGAGCATTGAAGATGGGGTGGTGGCTGGGTCTTCCAACATGACAACGACCCGAAGCACACAGCAGGAGAACCAAGGAGTGGCTCCATAAGAAGCATATCGAGGTTTCTGGAGTGGCCTAGCCAGTCTCCAGGCCTAAATCCAATAGAACATCTTTGGAGGGAGCTGAAACTCCGTGTTGCTCAGCGACAGCCCCGAAACCTGACAGATCTAGAGGAGATCGGTGTGGAGGAGTCGGCCAAAATCCCTGTTGAGGTGCAAAAACCTGGCCAAGGACTACAGAAACGTCTGACCTCTGTAATTGCAGACAAAGGCTTCTGTACCAAATATTAACACGGATCTTCTCAGGGGGGTTCAAATCCTTCTTTCAGCCGTGCGAGAGACAAATACATTCTTTACAAATCATACAATGTGATCTCCTGAATTCTGTCCTCAGAGTGGGAATCCCCTGCAATGTGAATGTCAGACCCTCCATGATGGAGAAGTGGGAGAACTTGCAGAATCGCAGGGGTTCAAATACTTTCTGTTCCTCACTGTATGTACAGCAGAGGGCAACTATACAGCCTGGGTCAGAAGGTCTGAGGACGACACAAATATGAATTTACGTCCAAGGAACCACACGCCGTCATCATCGCTTCACACAAAAAGGGATTCCCCGGATCATCAAGAACGCCAAGGAGAGAGGTTCAATTACTGTGAAGAAGACTTCAGGGTGCCCAAGAAAGTCCAGCAAGCACCAGGACCATCTCCTAAAGTGGATTCAGCTGCGGGATCGGGGAACCACCAGTGCAGGGCTTGCTCAGGAATGGCAGCAGACAGGTGTGAGTATCGGCATGCACAGTGAGAAGACTTCTGTATGATGGCCTGGTGTCAAGAAGGGCAGCAGAGAAGCCGCTTTCCTGGCGAAGGGCAGCAGAGAAGCCGCTTTCCTGGCGAAGGGCAGCAGAGAAGCCGCTTCCCTGGCGAAGGGCAGCAGAGAAGCCGCTTCCCTGGCGAAGGGCAGCAGAGAAGCCGCTTCCCTGGCGAAGGGCAGCAGAGAAGCCGCTTCCCTGGCGAAGGGCAGCAGAGAAGCCGCTTCCCTGGCGAAGGGCAGCAGAGAAGCCGCTTCCCTGGCGAAGGGCAGCAGAGAAGCCGCTTCCCTGGCGAAGGGCAGCAGAGAAGCCGCTTCCCTGGCGAAGGGCAGCAGAGAAGCCGCTTCCCTGGCGAAGGGCAGCAGAGAAGCCGCTTCCCTGGCGAAGGGCAGCAGAGAAGCCGCTTCCCTGGCGAAGGGCAGCAGAGAAGCCGCTTCCCTGGCGAAGGGCAGCAGAGAAGCCGCTTCCCTGGCGAAGGGCAGCAGAGAAGCCGCTTCCCTGGCGAAGGGCAGCAGAGAAGCCGCTTCCCTGGCGAAGGGCAGCAGAGAAGCCGCTTCCCTGGCGAAGGGCAGCAGAGAAGCCGCTTCCCTGGCGAAGGGCAGCAGAGAAGCCGCTTCCCTGGCGAAGGGCAGCAGAGAAGCCGCTTCCCTGGCGAAGGGCAGCAGAGAAGCCGCTTCCCTGGCGAAGGGCAGCAGAGAAGCCGCTTCCCTGGCGAAGGGCAGCAGAGAAGCCGCTTCCCTGGCGAAGGGCAGCAGAGAAGCCGCTTCCCTGGCGAAGGGCAGCAGAGAAGCCGCTTCCCTGGCGAAGGGCAGCAGAGAAGCCGCTACTCTACAGGAAAACCCTTCGAGACAGACTGGTATTCTGCAAAAGGTCCATCAATTGGACTGCTGAGGACTGAGAGAAAGTAATTTCCTCTGACGAATCCCTTGGGGATTGGGTCATCCGGAGAAATAGTTGTCCAGAGAAGAAAAGGTGAGCACTACTATCAGTCCTACATCATGCCAACAGCAAAGAATCCCGAGACCATTCATGTGAGGGGGTCGCTTCTCAGCCAAAGGAGTGGGCTCACTCACAATTCTGCCTGAGAACACCACCAAAAACATCCTCCGAGAGCAACTTCTCCCAACCATCCAAGAACAGTTTGGTGAGGAACATTGCCTCCTCCAGCATGATGGAGAACCTTGCCATAAGGCAAAAGTCATAACGAAGTGTCTTGGAGAATCAAACATCAAAATATGGGGCCCATGGACAGGAAACCCCCCAGACCTTCATCCCATTGAGAACTTGTGATCAATCCTCAAGAGGCAAGTGAACAAATAAAACCCCACAAATTCTGACCAACTCCAAGCATTGATGATGCAAGAAAGGGCTGCTATCAGTCAGGGTGTGGCCCAGACTGCATGTGGACAGCATGCCAGGGGGAAATCGCAGAGGTCTTGAAAAAGAAAGGTCGACACTGTAAATATGGACTCTTTGCATAACCTTCATGTCACTGTCAATAAAAACCTTGGACACGTATGGAAAGCTCGTCATTCTACTTCATATATACCTTCATGTACACCAGAGTAACATCTGAGAAAAAGACCTAAAAGCACAGAAGCAGAAGACTTTGTGAAAATTAATATTTGTGTCATTCTCAAAACTTTTAGCCACGGCTGTAGACTATAAACATATCTGTATTCCAAGAGTCTAAGAACTCTCTTTGATCCCCGACAATAGAAATCAAAAGATCTGCCATTTAAGGCCACCAGTGGGCTCCACCACACATTGTACAGCCCGTTTACCGTACCCATCGACACCTCAAACGTCCACCATACTGTACCCACCTGCTGGAATCATATCTCACGGATAAAACACCACAAAACGTTATCCAATAATCTCCACCCCACCCCTTTATAGGAAGCCCCACCCTTATTCTTCAGTTGATGTCATGAGTGATAGGAGGAGGGGTAGGTGTAGTCAAATCTTCTCCCCCATGGAGAACAAGGAGGGGTAGGTGTGGTCTAGTCATCTTCCCCAATGAGAACAAGGAAGGGTAGGTGTGGTCTAGTCTTCTACCCCAGTATGAAGGACATTGGATGGGAGAGTCTGGTGATGGACAATATGGAGGACATTGGGTGGGAGATTCTGGTGATGGACAATATGGAGGACATTGGGTGGGAAGGTCTGGTGATGGTCAATATGGAGGACATTTGTTGGGAGATGGGTGGGAGCACAGAGGAGGGGTAGATGTGGTCTAGTCATCTCCTCCAATGAAAATGCATAGGGCCCCACACATACCTCCACAGTTTGAGCATAAGCTCTCACGCTGGCGGCCGGCAACCTGCAACACAACCAATCAGAGGCATCAAAAACAGGATTATCCATCCCGCCCCCCACAATATAACAAGTGCCAGGTCTGCTAAACACCAAAGGATGTTGGATGCTATATGCAGAGATTTGTACATGGGTTGGTCTTTTGAGTTGGTATGGAGGACACTGGTTTGTAGATAGGTGGGATGGTGCGGTGATGGTCACAATGGAGAAACTTGGTCAGTATATGGAGATATCGGTGGGTGGTATGGTCTGGTGATGGCCAATATGGAGGACATTGGTCGGGAGAAGAGTGGGAAGGTCTGGTGACGGACAATATGGAAGACATTGGTCGAGAGAAGAGTGGGAAGGTCTGGTGATGGACAATACGGAGGACATTGGGTGGGAAGGTCTGGTGATGGACAATACGGAGGACATTGGGTGGGAGGTCTGGTGATGGTCAATATGGAGGACATTGGTCGGGAGAAGAGTGGGAAGGTCTGGTGACGGACAATATGGAGGACATTGGTCGGGAGAAGAGTGGGAAGTCTGGTGACGGACTGGTGACATTGGTCGGACAATGGGAAGGTCTGGTGATGGACAATATGGAAGACATTGGTCGAGAGAAGAGTGGGAAGGTCTGGTGATGGACAATACGGAGGACATTGGGTGGGAAGGTCTGGTGATGGACAATACGGAGGACATTGGGTGGGAAGGTCTGGTGATGGACAATACGGAGGACATTGGGTGGGAAGGTCTGGTGATGGTCAATACGGAGGACATTGGGTGGGAAGGTCTGGTGATGGTCAATACGGAGGACATTGGGTGGGAAGGTCTGGTGATGGTCAATACGGAGGACATTGGGTGGGAAGGTCTGGTGATGGACAATACGGAGGACATTGGGTGGGAAGGTCTGGTGATGGACAATACGGAGGACATTGGGTGGGAAGGTCTGGTGATGGACAATACGGAGGACATTGGGTGGGAAGGTCTGGTGATGGACAATACGGAGGACATTGGGTGGGAAGGTCTGGTGATGGACAATACGGAGGACATTGGGTGGGAAGGTCTGGTGATGGACAATACGGAGGACATTGGGTGGGAAGGTCTGGTGATGGACAATACGGAGGACATTGGGTGGGAAGGTCTGGTGATGGACAATACGGAGGACATTGGGTGGGAAGGTCTGGTGATGGACAATACGGAGGACATTGGGTGGGAAGGTCTGGTGATGGACAATACGGAGGACATTGGGTGGGAAGGTCTGGTGATGGTCAATACGGAGGACATTGGGTGGGAAGGTCTGGTGATGGACAATACGGAGGACATTGGGTGGGAAGGTCTGGTGATGGACAATACGGAGGACATTGGGTGGGAAGGTCTGGTGATGGACAATACGGAGGACATTGGGTGGGAAGGTCTGGTGATGGACAATACGGAGGACATTGGGTGGGAAGGTCTGGTGATGGACAATACGGAGGACATTGGGTGGGAAGGTCTGGTGATGGACAATACGGAGGACATTGGGTGGGAAGGTCTGGTGATGGACAATACGGAGGACATTGGGTGGGAAGGTCTGGTGATGGACAATACGGAGGACATTGGGTGGAAGGTCTGGTGATGGACAATACGGAGGACATTGGGTGGGAAGGTCTGGTGATGGACAATACGGAGGACATTGGGTGGGAAGGTCTGGTGATGGACAATACGGAGGACATTGGTGGGAAGGTCTGGTGATGGACAATACGGAGGACATTGGGTGGGAAGGTCTGGTGATGGACAATACGGAGGACATTGGGTGGGAAGGTCTGGTGATGGACAATACGGAGGACATTGGGTGGGAAGGTCTGGTGATGGACAATACGGAGGACATTGGGTGGGAAGGTCTGGTGATGGACAATACGGAGGACATTGGGTGGGAAGGTCTGGTGATGGACAATACGGAGGACATTGGGTGGGAAGGTCTGGTGATGGACAATACGGACATTGGGAAGGTCTGGTGGACATTGGAGGTGGGTGGGAAGGTCTGGTGATGGACAATACGGAGGACATTGGGTGGGAAGGTCTGGTGATGGACAATACGGAGGACATTGGGTGGGAAGGTCTGGTGATGGACAATACGGAGGACATTGGGTGGGAAGGTCTGGTGATGGACAATACGGAGGACATTGGGTGGGAGGTCTGGTGATGGATGGACAATACGGAGGACATTGGGTGGGAAGGTCTGGTGATGGACAATACGGAGGACATTGGGTGGGAAGGTCTGGTGATGGACAATACGGAGGACATTGGGTGGGAAGGTCTGGTGATGGACAATACGGAGGACATTGGGTGGGAAGGTCTGGAGTAGGGATCGGCGGGGGGTAGAGGTAGGGATCGGCAGGGGGGAGGGATCAGTGGGGGGGGGATCAGTGTGTGGGGGGTAGGGATCAATGGGGGGAGAGGGGAGGAGTTGGGATCAGTGGTAGGGGGAGGGGAAGAGTAGGGATTGATGATGGTGGGGAGAGGGGAAGAGTAGGGATTGGTGGTGGGGGAGGAGAAGGGATCGTTGTGGGGAGGCATAGGGATCATGGGGGGGAAGGGATCGGTGGGAAGAGGTGTAGGGATTTTTTAGGGTGAGGGGAGGAGTAGGGATCGGTGGAGGGAGGGATCATGGGGGGAGGGGAAAGGGATCGTTGGGGAACGGAATGAGTGAGGATCGGTGGGAGGAGGGGAGGAGTAGGGATCAGTGGGAGGAGGGGGAGGGATCAGTGGTGGGGGGAGGGGAGGTGTAGGGATCAGTGGTGGGGGAGGGGAAGCGTAGGGATCAGTGGTGGGGGAGGGGAGGCGTAGGGATCAGTGGTGGGGGAGGGGAGGAGTAGGGATCAGTGGTGGGGGAGGGGAGGCGTAGGGATCAGTGTGGGGGAGGGGAGGCGTAGGGATCAGTGGTGGGGGAGGGGAGCGCTTAGGGATCAGTGGTGGGGGAGGGGAGGCTTAGGGATCAGTGGTGGGGGAGGGGAGGCGTAGGGATCAGTGGTGGGGGAGGGGAGGTGTAGGGATCAGTGGTGGGGGAGGGGAGGTGTAGGGATCAGTGGTGGGGGAGGGGAGGTGTAGGGACCAGTGGTGGGGGAGGGGAAGTGTAGGGACCAGTGGTGGGGGAGGGGAAGTGTAGGGATCAGTGGTGGGGGAGGGGAGTGTGTAGGGATCAGTGGTGGGGGAGGGGAGGTGTAGGGATCAGTGGTGGGGGAGGGGAGGTGTAGGGATCAGTGGTGGGGAGGGGTAAGGATCAGTGGGGGGTGGGATCGGTGGGAGGTGGCATAGGGATCGGTGGGGGGACGATAGGAGTAGGGATCGGTGGGGGGACGATAGGAGTAGGGATCGGTGGGGGGACGATAGGAGTAGGGATCGTGGTGGGGGGACGATAGGAGTAGGGATAGGGGGAGGGATCGGTGGAGGGGGAGGAGAAGGGATCGTTGTGGGGAGGCATAGGGATCATGGGAGGAAGGGATCGGTGGGAGGAAGGGATCGGTGGGAGGAAGGGATCGGTGGGAGGAGGTGTAGGGATTGTTGGGGGGAGGGGAGGAGTAGGGATTGGTGGGGGGGAGGAAAAAGGGATCGTTGCGGAACGGAATGAGTGAGGATTGGTGGGAGGAGTAGGGATCAGTAGGAGTGGGAGGGGAGGAGTAGGGATCAGTGGGAGGAGTAGGGATCAGTGGTGGGGGGAGAAGTACGGATTGGTGGGGGGACGAAAGGAGTAGGGATTGGTGGAGGGAGAGGGATCGGGGGAGGGGAGGAGTAGGGATGGGTGAGGGGGAGGAGTAGGGATGGGTGAGGGGGAGGAGTAGGGATGGGTGGGGGGAGTAGGGATCGGTGGTGGGGGGGGGGGGAGGAGTAGGGATCGGTGGGGGGGGGGAGTAGGGGGATTGGGGGGGGGAGGAGTAGGGATTGGTGGTGGGGGAGGAGTAGGGACCATGGGGGGGAGGGAGGAGTAGGGACCGTGAGTAGGGATCAGTGGGGGAGGGGGGTATGGACCAGGGGGGGAGTAGGGATCAGTGGGGGAGGGGTTGGTGATATCGGTAGTGGGGGGTAGAAGTGGGAGTTGGTGGGATCGGTGGTAGGGATCAGTGGGGGTAGAAGTGGGGATCAGTGTGGGGGTTGGTGGGATCGGTCGATCACCTGAGGACGGATCGGCTGAGACGGATCATGGTCACAGCGGCTCAGGAAGGTCAATAAGCAGACGATGCTCCGCCCATTGCCGGATCATGTGATGGGAGAGGGGGATGCCGGGAGTTGTAGTGCGGAGAGGAGGGGGTGGTGTTCTGGAGACTCCTCCCTCGTATACTCAGCGGTAGGATGTGATTGGACGGGAGGAGCTTGTAGGGGGCGTGGTGTGGAAGGATCTTCTTCCGATATGGGAGCCTATGGAGGCGTGTCGTCTATTCTGGGGGCGGGACGGAGGGGGCGGAGCAGAGGGCATACGTTGGTGTCAGATCTTATAGCCGCAGACCGGAAATCACAAAACGGAGGAGGAGGCGGGGCTTGAGCCGGAAAAAAGCGGATAGAGACAGAAAAGGGATTTCAGACCACGCCCATTGTCCATCCCCTCTCCTCCTTATGTGGGTGTGGCTTCTTGTAGGTGATCTAGAAACCCCGGAATCCGCCGTGTCCTGAGCGAACATGAGGCTCCGCCCCCGCCCCGCCTTTTCGTCTTGACATCCCCGCCCAGATACTGTCCCCGATAATGTCAAACATTTCTGTCACGGATAAGCCACGCCCACAGAGACTGTAACCTTGGCCTGGTCTGTGTCCGGAGGGGGAGGAGCGTACGAGACCGGCCGGGATCCGCCTTCACAGCCCTCTGCCTCCACTAGAGGGAGACTCCGACCCACACAGGACACGCCCCTCCCCCCACAGAGGACAAACCCCTCCCCCCACACACACACAGATCTCCATCTGGCAGATCTTCCAGCACGCTACATGCCACAATCTCCGGGGATACACAGAGGACACTTATTCATTGGATGATGTCATATCCCAAAGAGGGCGGGGCGTAGAGGATGTACAAAGCGGGCGGGGCGTAGAGGATGTACAAAGCGGGGTTGGGCGTAGAGGATGTACAAAGCGGGCGGGGCGTAGAGTATGTACAAAGCGGGCGGGGCGTAGAGGATGTACAAAGCGGGGGGGCGTAGAGGATGTACAAAGCGCGTGGGGCGTAGTGGATGTACAAAGCGGGCGGGGCGTAGAGGATGTACAAAGCGGGGTTGGGCGTAGAGGATGTACAAAGCGGGGCGGGGCGTAGAGGATGTACAAAGCGGGGTTGGGCGTAGAGGATGTACAAAGCGGGGGGGCGTAGAGAATGTACAAAGCGGGCGGGGCGTAGAGGATGTACAAAGCGGGCGGGGCGTAGTGGATGTACAAAGCGGGGAGGGGCGTAGAGGATGTACAAAGCGGGGGGGGCGTAGAGGATGTACAAAGCGGGCGGGGCGTAGAGGATGTACAAAGCGGCGGGGCGTGGTGGATGTACAAAGCGGGCGGGGCGTAGAGGATGTACAAAGCGGGCGGGGCGTAGAGGATGTACAAAGCGGGGTTGGGCGTAGAGGATGTACAAAGCGGGCGCGGGGCGTAGAGGATGTACAAAGCGGGCGGGGCGTAGAGGATGTACAAAGCGGGCGGGGCGTAGAGGATGTACAAAGCGGGGCGGGGCGTAGAGGATGTACAAAGCGGGCGGGGCGTAGAGGATGTACAAAGCGGGAGGGGCGTAGAGGATGTACAAAGCGGGCGGGGCGTAGAGGATGTACAAAGCGGGCGGGGCGTAGTGGATGTACAAAGCGGGGCGGGGCGTAGAGGATGTACAAAGCGGGGTTGGGCGTAGAGGATGTACAAAGCGGGCGGGGCGTAGAGGATGTACAAAGCGGGCGGGGCGTAGAGGATGTACAAAGCGGGCGGGGCGTAGAGGATGTACAAAGCGGGAGGGGCGTAGAGGATGTACAAAGCGGGCGGGGCGTAGAGGATGTACAAAGCGGGCGGGGCGTAGAGGATGTACAAAGCGGGCGGGGCGTAGTGGATGTACAAAGCGGGCGGGGCGTAGAGGATGTACAAAGCGGGGTTGGGCGTAGAGGATGTACAAAGCGGGCGGGGCGTAGAGGATGTACAAAGCGGGCGGGGCGTAGTGGATGTACAAAGCGGGCGGGGCGTAGAGGATGTACAAAGCGGGCGGGGCGTAGAGGATGTACAAAGCGGGCGGGGCGTAGAGGATGTACAAAGCGGGCGGGGCGTAGAGGATGTACAAAGCGGGCGGGGCGTAGAGGATGTACAAAGCGGGGCGGGGCGTAGAGGATGTACAAAGCGGGCGGGGCGTAGAGGAGAGGCGGGGGCGTAGTGGATGTACAAAGCGGGCGGGGCGGATGTACAAATGTACAAAGCGGGCGGGGCGTAGAGGATGTACAAAGCGGGCGGGGCGTAGAGGATGTACAAAGCGGGAGGGGCGTAGAGGATGTACAAAGGGGCGGGGCGTAGAGGATGTACAAAGTGGGAGGGGCGTAGAGGATGTACAAAGTGGGTGTAACAGAACTGGACCCGACTGCACTCAGGTATTTCCATGAGACTCCCCCGTCTGAACACAGACCCCGGACCCCACCGCTGACCATACAGGACGAGACAACAGACATGACATGAAGGAAACCAGGAAATAGGCGGCTTTATTGTAACAGACACCAGATATGTACACAGGGCGGGGCAAGAGACATTTAGTAACAAGAGACACACCAACAGACAGTCCCATCAGGAGGGAGGGCTGCTGGAGACACCCCCCACCAAGCCAATACACAAACACATACATCCCATAATAGTTTGCTCCCAAGCAAGACACACAATAGAACAATGGGATGCAACCACATGGCAGTACACAATCCACAACCCCCCACCCCCCAATATCAGACCAGATCACCCTGCACCCCTAACAGGCACAGGGGGACTTACACATAAGAGGGATATGGGGAGCTGAGACAGGGGTCTCCCCACCTCTCCAAAGTGAGCTGTGTTCCATAGGCCCCCTACCCAAAGTGAGCTGTGTTCCATGGGCCCCCTACCCAAAGTGAGCCGGGTTCCATGGGCCCCCCACTCAAAGTGAGCCGTGTTCCATGGGCCCCCCACCCAAAGTGAGCTGTGTTCCATGGGCCCCCTACCCAAAGTGAGCCGGTTTCCATGGGCCCCCCACTCAAAGTGAGCCGTGTTCCATGGGCTCCCCACCCAAAGTGAGCCGGGTTCCATGGGCCCCCCACCCAAAGTGAGCCGGGTTCCATGGGACCCCAACCAAAGTGAGCCGTGTTCCATGGGCCCCCCACCCAAAGTGAGCCGGGTTTCCATGGGCCCCCCACCCAAAGTGTCACAGTGGGCAAGCATAGAGTATGTACAAAGTGGGCGGGGCGTGTAGGAAGTGGGTGGGGCGTAGAGGATGTACAAAGTGGGCGGAGCATGTACAAAGTATAAACAGTCGCAGAGGACACCAGACACAATCAGATCTTCTCTGGGGAATAAAACTTTCCCGGATTTCTCCTGCGACTGGAACAAGTCAGAGAAAGTCAGCGATTCGCTAGTCATATGGAACCGCCTCCCTACCAATCACCCCGCCCACATCTCAGGGTCCTCAATGTATTGGAATGTGGACCTTGGCCAATCAGCCCAGGGGGGTGGTCCTATCCCCGCCCACAGGACGTTCTGTGTTCTGAAATGCCCGGAGCTGATTGGACCGGGAACGGTTCGGTGGGTCAGGGATGGGATTTACGACACCAGCGCGTCCGTCCGATGGCAGAACCAATCAGGCACCATAGAACCGTTCTGCTCACGAATCTTTACATGTAGGAGGAGCCTAAAGTATGTCCAATCAGAAGGAAGGATTTCCATCTCTACAACATTGTATCTTCTATGAGACATGAGAGCGATTCCTCTGATCTACCCGAGAGAAGGGGGGAGGAGAGGAGAGAGAAGGGGGGATCTTCTCTCCTGAGGTTGCTGTGATCTGCACTGTGCACAGATGGTAATAAGCTGACAGTGGGGGGGGGGAGGGAGAGTGGAGTAATAAGCTGACACTGGGGGGGGAAGAAGGGGGGAGTAATAAGCTGACACTGGGGGGTCTTCTATCCTGAGGTTGCTGTGACCTGCACTGTGCACAGATTGTAATAAGCTGACACTGGGGGGGGGAGTAAGTATAAGCTGACACTGGGGAGGGGGATCTTCTCTCCTGAGGTTGCTGTGACCTGCACTGTGCACACATGGTAATAAGCTGACACTGGGGGGGGGGAGTAATAAGCTGACACTGGGGAGGGGGATCTTCTCTCCTGAGGTTGCTGTGACCTGCACTGTGCACACATGGTAATAAGCTAACACTGGGGGGGATTTTCACTTCTGAGGTTGCTGTGAGCTGTATGCAGCTTGGGCCTGGAATCGCCTTTCTTCTGGGTACATTGCATATATCTCCTGATACAGAGAAGTGTGGTGAGCCGCTGTCTGCTGCCGCCCACCTGCCAGGATCCCCCTCCCCCTCCTCACACGACACTTCGCAGTGTTTTTATAAGAAGGGTTATAAATAAGATCATCTTTAGTGTCTGGAAATCAATTTCAGGATTTTCCCAGAAGCTGCTCTGCAGCCAGTGAAGTGAGACTCTGTCTATTCCAGCAATGAGATGAAGGCGCTGTCTAGTCGCAGCAGTGGGATCGCTGTGTGTAGCCATGGACCTCCGCTGCACTTCCATGGAGATGAGCTGCGATTTTCAGGCTGGTGATGTCTGGGCAGGAACCTACAGACTTCCCTGCACCCTGTGCTCCTGAGGCTGCTGTGAGCTGCACTGTGCTCAGCTTTAATATATTGATATGTATCATTGAGACTAACAATCCGTCACAGATTCTGTATGTGATCGCAGATCAATATTTGTCACTGATACCAATAGACTATATCACTGATCAATATTAATTATTACCAATACTAACAATCCATCACCGATCAATATTATTACCAATACTGAAAATTCATCGCCGATCAATATTATTATTACCAATACTGACAATCCATCACCGATCAATATTATTACCAATACTGACAATTCATCACCGATCAATATTACCAATACTGGCAATCCATCTCAGACCAATATTATTATTACCAATACTGACAATTCATCGCCGATCAATATATCAATACTGACAAACC